TGGATGGTAATACTGAGGCAATCACGTCAAGAAATGTCTATGACAAGACAGTCGGTTGAAAGCAAAAAGCAAGGACTCCAGGGGCCACGCATGGAGACAGCACGTTGTCCCAGACTAGGGGACCATGCTGGCCGGGAGGGAATTCGAGCAGCCAAGGGAGCTCTGAGGATGGAAGGTGGAAAGGTCACAGGCACAGAAGAGCGTGCGTGTGAACTGACTCTGTGTCCTGTGCACGCAAGACGGGCGCCCGAGCCCACGTCTCTGGGTACCTGTGGTCTCTCCCTGGAAGCATTCCCGGGCGTGTCGGAGGAAGGGAGCTCGGGCACCAGTGTCCAGGAGAAGCACGCGGGGTTAACAGAGTGGTGCCTACAGAGTGTTGAGAGAAACCGCAACCATCACAAAAAATATCATGAAACTGGCGGTGGGGAGAGCTACCCAAGCTCAGTCGTGAACACAAGAGGTTAAAAAATAAAAGGGAAAAAAGGTCAATCCAGTTTTTCTTATACTTCCACGAAGCTGCAAATCCAGGTTCACTGATTCCCCGCCCCTTTCTTTTTCTATTTTGACAGACTTCTAGAATCAAAAGAGAAATTCCTCAATGGTCTTGTTTTATGATTTAATAAAAATGCCTTCACGGTAAGGCAAGGATTCACATGCCCCGTGCCCCGCCGTAGCAGGTGGTCTGGCCCAGACCGAGATCCCGCAGGCTTGTGGGGCGTGCAGGGTGGCTCTGCCTCCCGGGGACCCCGCGTGGGTAGTGCTCACGAGGACTCTGGGACGGACAAGGTCGCAACGGGGCAGCAGGACAGTCAAGGCTGGAAGGGACAGTGAGAGCTGTAAGGTGGGTTCCAAGAGCACGTCTGGGCTGCCCTCCTTTTGCAGACAGGGAAACGGTGCCCAGAGAGGAGGAGTCGGTGGCCTGAGCTCCCTGGAGCATGGCTGCTGCTAGATGCCCGGTCCCCCGGTCCCCTCCGCCGGCCCCCATCCTGCCTCTAGTGCACCTGAGCATTTCCCAACGCATTTCTGGCATGTCACTTCCCACAGGAGCCCTGGAACGCACAGCCGTTCTCATCCTTGGCTCTGGCAGGGCCGTGACCTTGTGCGGTGGACCCACCTTTCCAGCCCACGAGTTCCCACTGGATGAAGACACTGCTGCCACCCCAGCTTCCCTGCCGGCTACCCGGCACGACACCTTTCCGTGGCCGTCAAAGATGCTTGGCCATGCCGTGGGCGAGAGTGACCCTCAACTGCCGGGAGATGCAGAGCCGGTGGGCAAATACCCCAGCTTCTTCAGCCCCCGGGAGGGCTGCAAAGTATCTGAGAGGCCCCCCCCAAGGGACGAAGCACCAGCGCCCCCGAAGTGCATTCCTCCCGTGAACACACCGTGCTGGCTTTCCTCCCCTGCCCTTCCCGGCTCTCTCGCTCGCACCTCCTGGGGTGGCCTCGATTTCAGCCACCTGCACCCCGTTCCGTACTGGGGACCTGCTTTGGGGACACCCCACCTAGGCCACCAAGGGAGCCGTAGGGGACTGAGGAGGTTAATGGCCCCGCTCCTCGGCAAGACCGAGCTCCGCGTAGAGCCAGCCCCTCGTCACCCGCCGAGCCCAGCGTGCGGCCCGGCGAAACATCCCCTGCAGCCCTCCCCAGGTGTGGGCGCACCTCAAAGTGGCCTGTCCTTGCGGTCAGCCCCAGCCCTCCCTGCAGGACGCACAAAACGCTTGCCTCTAGCGGGAACAGTGACTTGTCCCTCCTATAAGAAGGGCGATAATTTGATAAGTTAATCGCGAGTGTGCTTTGCCGGCTTGGTCACCTTCCTACTTTTAGGTGGATCATTGAGAACGTATCACGTTAATCGGGCGACAGCGGAAGTTCAAAAAGAAATCTTAACCGTTAGTCTACGGTCTCACCGGCCTGAGCGCACCCGATCCCGTCTGACCTCGGAAGCTAAGCAGGGTCGGGCCCGGTTAGGATCTTGGATGGGAGAAAACGTAACCGTTAGATGGGTGGGTCCGGACCACTCCACAGAGAGCCCGAAAGACGATCCCCTTGTGAAACTGGCCAGCATCTGGGTGCGCGCAGGGACGTTTTTTGCTAATGAACGAGCTGTGCAGAGTCCCCCAACTTTAACCTTGAAAATGCACGTTGTTTGCTCAGGAGGCTGAGTCCGCTCACGCCGAGACGGCATCGCCAACGTGCCGCTTGGTATTTAGGGATGTGATTTAATCATCGTCAAGTTTCTTTGAGAAAAAGTAACTATACTTAATATATATACTTAACTATACTATAATCACCTCCAAAGTTTAGATTCTTTTTTCCCCACCAGAATATCTAAATTTCATCAAAGCAGACGCACTTCCAAACATGTGTAAAGAAAGAAGGGATCTGAAGATGCTCTCGTACTGCAAAGCACCTCGCCCTGCCTTGGTCTCTCGCATCTTAAGTCACGAATTTCTCCTTGAACCCCTGCTCTGTATACACTGGGTGTCTCTTATCCCCCCAGACCCCTGGGTCCCTGTGGGATCTAGGCTGTAGGGCCAAGAGCAGATGCAGGGGGTGACGTCCGTGTTGGCCCCACGCCCAGATCCGCATGGGTGGGGCTCGCTATGATGCCATGTGGGGGGAGGGATGGCAGCTCTGGGGGAAGGAGCCTGCAGGAAGTGGAACTGCCAGCCCCACACAGAGCTGAGATGACGTTGGATCATTCCGGAGGACGGCACCCGCCCAGCGGGCCACACACGCAATATTCCCAAGAACCCTCGACTAGAGAGAGGGCAGTTGTTACCCAGAGATGGGGACGGCAGCGTGGAGTGGGTGGGAAGCAGGGGAGGACGCGGCGCGATGAGGGGGTGCCGTGAAATGGGAGGCGGGAGGAGGCTGGGGCCAGGTTGATAAAAATAGGAGAATGAGAACCCACGAATGCCTCCTCCAAGCTCGGGAAGTTACCCCTGGGGAGCAAGTCAGGAAACACTCCCTGCTTTGGAAGCAGAAATGTTTCCGCGTCCTCCAGCTCAGAGACCCCGTTAGGGGGATTGGGCCCGAGTGGAAGGAAGAGAGAACAGCAGACGTCGGAATGCAGGGCCCCGGGGAGCCCTCCCGGATGTCGGCGCAGGGGCCCAGATGACATGCGCCCTTCAGCGGCTCCTTCCGTCCCTGCTTCCCGCTCCCCCGTCCCCAAGACCCGGCCCCTCCTGCTGCACCGGGGCCCTCTGAGCCCCACCCCGGGCAGACTGACAGAGCCAGCAGGTGCCGTGGTGTCGGTCAGGGTTCTGGGGAGTGTGCGGACTGTGAACCATCAACAATGCTGGGGACAGCGTACCGGACAGAAGCCCTGAGAAAAAGGCTTGGAGGAATCGTCCCTTTATGTGTATCCACTTCCCTGGGGGGCAGCTCCCCAGACTCGGGGGACACTGGAAATAAAGGCAAACTCTCCTGGGGTCCTTTCTGTGCAAGCTCAGCCTACACAGCGGTGGTGGAAACTGGCCCTGCATAGGTGTGGCCGTGGGCACCTGGGCCTGGAGCTTGGGGCCGTGTAGACCTGGCCCTGCATGGATGTGGCCATGTGGACCTGGGCCTGGAGCTTGGGGCCGTGTAGACCTGGCCCTGCATGGATGTGGCCATGTGGACCTGGGCCTGGAGCTTGGGGCCGTGTAGACCTGGCCCTGCATGGATGTGGCCATGTGGACCTGGGCCTGGAGCTTGGGGCTGTGTAGACCTGGCCCTGCATGGATGTGGCCATGTGGACCTGGGCCTGGAGCTTGGGGCCGTGCAGACCTGGCCCTGCTTGGGTGTGGCCGTGGGGACCTGGGCCTGGAGGTTGCGCTGGGCTTTTGGGGTTCCATCACATTTTCCACTGGAACCCACAGAACATATTCTCCGCTGCATACGAACAGCATCGGGCAACAGCTGTGGACACCGAACACGGGGAAATCTGGCGACCGTCTTCAAGGTCTGTGTTTTTCATCTGGGGCCGTCACTTCTTCTCAGACTCAGAATCTCTCACGTTTTACCTCTTCTCTCAAATAAGAGACAACCTGACTGTGGTCTCTGGGGTCACGATCACTCGAAAAGCTTTCATGAGAAATTCTGGAAGGAATGTTTCAACCAGTCAAAGGGATGCAATCGTCCCACTGCTAAGGCCAGGGCTGTTCCAACGGACGTTTCTGGGCTTCCGTTCCCTCGTTACGCACAGGACACTGTTCATTTGCGGGCGCAGGGAATGGGCTTGGGGCTTGGGATTCTGCTCCCCCACCCCGGGGATCAATCACACGGGGAGAAGGACGTGCACGAAATTTAAAAGTTTATAAAACATATCCAAGCAAAGGAGCTTGGAAACACCGTTGACATGGCGGGACCCCAAAGTCCAGCTCACGGACAACAAAACCCAGCAACACAAACAAAAAGCAAAAGGCTTCATTCCTGCACATCTCCCCACCAGTAGGCACGGTGGGCAGAGGAACAAAAGCAAACAAAGACAGGCACGACCAAAAAAACCTCAATAGAACAAAAATGGTCCCAAACTCCACCGATTCTGACTATCTCCCATCACAGACTGCCCTTCACGGGATGGAAAGAAAACGTTGAGATTTGCGCAGGGAGGCTGAGCACCAGCAGCCTGGACCGCATCTGGGATGGGGTATGGTGGCCGGCACGCTCACGCCCACGTCCCCCCACAACCGCGGTCCCGTGAGTGGTCGTGCGGTCTAGACGCCTGAAAGTCCCTTGTACGGAGAGATGGGCCCATGTCGTCTGCTCTCCCCCACCCGCCCCACTCGTCCCACCCGAATCGGGAGGTCCCATTCCATTCCCACGTTGATGAATTCCCACTTACAGGGCCCGCTACAGACGGGTGGAGAAACGCAACGATCTGCCCCCGCGAACAGCCCCGGGAGCCGTGTAGATAGTATTCCCTGAGCGTCCTGTTCCGGCTTCCGCCAGCCAAAGGAAGGTCGAGGGGTCAGGGGTGTCGTGGAACGGATTAACATAATGACTCGGAACTGCACTAATGTTTCACAGCTTTTTTTTTTTTATTAGCAATACCAAGATAAGTTATTGAAGCATTTTTAGTATTATTTTACATTCCATTCATAAATGACCTAACTTGTAACTCAGCATACAGCGCACTTAAAGATACAGTTTGACACTTGTTCAGAAAGCTACAATTATCACAACTTACATGCCTTCATTACCAGGAACACCTTAATATGTCTTCTAATTACTTGAACAATACTCTATTCCAAAGCACACGATAACCCGGTACAAGTTTACACATTTTGCTTCAATCGCCATTTTTTAAACTGTGGATGTCAAGGTGGGATTTTACTGTCATCTGTTCCTGGTTCATAGGACGACCTGACACAATATTAAACTAGCAATATTTCTGCTTAAATACTATGGAGAAAGATAATTACCGCACTTTTTTCTGTATTCTTCTAAAGTGTTACAAAGTACAGGACAATCAGACACAAGGAATAATTCCGACGAGACCATCGTAGGTCCACCTCTAGAAGCTCGGGTGAGCCGGTGGAACAGCCCCCGTCCCCCAGCCAGGTGGCTCACAGGTGAAGGGACCCGCGATCCAACGGCATTTGTCACTCGGGATTTATGATTTTGAGGGAACTCTCCCTCCCGCTCACGTTACTAAGCCTTTGCAATCCTTGACTAATAGCAGAACATATGGGGCAGTATTTTTAGCCTCCCTGGTTCTTCGCTCTATATACTGTAGGTTGGTGCCGTGTGTATACACATACCTGTGCCAATAGTAATTATTTATTCAACACACATATGTGTATACATTCTTCTCTTGACTTTACGCGATTAACAAGCTGCAGGTAACCACCGAGGAGCACGAACAGACAGGGGCAAGTCCACAGAGACCGACTAGGACAGGGGGTGTCACTTACCTGCAAGAAAACGTGCAGATTCGTTAAATGATCCAGGAACCATTTGGGCGAGAGGCATTTGAAAGCGAGGGCGGGGGACACATCCCTTAATTGTTTAATGGAATAATGACAATAAAGCAATATTTATGAAATTTGGTCCTTCCGTCTCTGGCTAAAGCAAGAATAGTCTACGTGATTAGAGCAGGTTGGCAATTAGGCGTAGAGGGGCTGCTGATCGGCGCTAAGTAACAGGAGATAATTACTACTTATGTGAAACCTGGGCTTTGCACACAACATCTGAAATTAAAAAAAAAAAGAAAGAAAAAACCTGATTCCCTTTGCAGCTAAGATGCAGCCTGTATGTAGATGGTTGTCAGCTGCAACCAACACTTTGATTCAACCTTAGAAGGTCGAAGCCAGAGCTGAAACCCAGGTACCTGCGCCCAACTTGGGACCTCAGCGGGGTCCCGGTTCCTACTTTAGATGGTGGTGGCCGGTCCTGCGTGAAGAGTTTGCGTTTCCCCAGTGACATGGGTGTCTGTTCTGAGAACATTCTCTCCTCCTCCCTCCCAATCTTAAGTCATTACCGGGGTGGGAAGGGGAGATATATATATATATTTTTTTTTTAATCAAAGGGCTTTATTGCTGTCTCCTCCCACCAGGTTTGGTCCTGGGTAGTAGGTTTGATGCCATCCAAAGGAATGCGGACACGGCAACCGAAATGAAAGCTACCAGACTTTTCTCCTGCTGCAGAGGCCCTGTTGATTCCGACAGTAGCTTTTGGAGCCAAAAAAATACGCAGCAAAAGGAAAGGAACATAAACAAGGCTAAATGTCACCAGTGTTTGCCGACTTACAGACACCATCCATTTGTTTGTTCTGAAATGACGAGTGGACCATTTGGCAAATACAATGGTATTCGCACAACGGTTCTGTCATCCCGCAGCGCAAACGACATCACGTCAGTGGCATTCCCATTTAATTTAAAAAGAGGGAAGGGGAAGAGGAGGAGAATGCCAAAAGAGTTTGGAGACGGCTGCCGTCCAGAGAGGCTGCCTCTCCATCAGACGCGGTGCGCGCAGAAAGCCTCCGGGTGAGGGCACGGAAGAGCCCACCCAGGGTGCCGATGCCTGTAGGGGATCCCAGGGGACATCACCAACGCTTTGTCCCACCAGAGGCAAAGAGAGAAGCTCCGCAGCCAGTTGTAAGGCGGCCCGCCAGGCAGAGCAGGCATTTGCAGAGCGGTGATTTGCATCAACTTACAAAGTCCCGCCCTTGGACCTCCTGGCCAGCCAAATGGTCCTCCCCACTGGGGTCTAATCAGGCCCCGGACACACGGCACACCTGGGAGCAGGCTGGACCCAGAGGCCAATGGCTAATCTGTAAATGATCCCATCGGCGAAGAAAGTGAGTGCAAAACTGTGCTCTGTCCGCGGTCTCTGCGTGAGAGCCAGCGGGATCTCAGAGGAGAGGAGGAATGGTTGCTCCTTTGGCTTCAAATAGAGCAGGGCAGCACCAAGACGACGAGGTCCCGCAGAGCGGAGCCCCAGTTCTCCCGCACCCCCATGCCAATCGCCCTCCCCGGTGTTGTGGGTTTCGCCTGGACTCCTACACGCTCTGCAGGTTGGATTTTGTGGTTCTCTTCCTTAACCTCCTTTCATGAGAACCCACTGCCTTCAGGGCCACGCTGTAGACTCTTTTGCAAAATGTTCCAGCTGCCACGGGCAGGGCCTCGCAGCCTGTGGCCAGGGCGTCCACACGTCCGCTGTCCCCACTGGGCTCACACGCCCTGACACTGGCTCGTTAGAAGTCTCTAACTGACCACAGACCTTTGCCAATTCTTGGTCAAAGACGGAGGGGACGGGACTTCCTAACTCCTATGCACTTGCCTCATGTCGGGGATGGATCTGGGTGGAGCTGGAAGGGTGTGGCCACTGGGATGGGGGAGTCACACCGAGTTGCCAGAGCAATCTCCAAAACCAACTTCCCCACGAACCAGGGAAGAGCTTTGACAACGTGGCCCGGCAGACGTGAGGAAGTAACGGTGCCTCTCTCACGTCGGTGGAAAGCAGGATGTGTCCTGGCTGAGTGCTACGGGGACGACTGCAGCCCAGCGATGCCGTGCGCCGGCATCGTTTCCTCGTGCCAGCCTCACGTGGACTCCGACCCCTGCAGTGCGGTGGAGACTCAACCGAGAAGCACCCACCCAAGCCCTTCCGCATCTATCGCCTCATTGCATCCCTGCACTTCCCGCCATCGTGGGGAAACAGGCTTCCGCGGAGCACGCTCGCTCCAGAGGCAAGACAGAGCTACCGCCTGGTCCTCCTCTGTGTGTGCTGGGGGCAAGGGTGGGGTAAGCGGGCAGGGGTGTTCTCCTGGAAGTCTCTGACGCACAGGCAGAGATGTGGCCCTCCAGAAACAGGTGCGCCAGACCCAGCTGTGTCTACGGTCCTCTCTCTCCGGGAAGCCTCCCACGCGTCTCTGGTTTTGGCATCACGTGGCAATGGGGGGGCCCCAGAGCTCCGAGCCTGCCTGCATCGGCTCGCTGCCCAGTGGGTGACGGGGGACAAGGTTTTGCGTCTTTTCTCTGGGGACGGCTCCAGGAACTCATCCCTCTTTGCGCTCGTACAGGGGTGGCAAACTCTGACCCGCGGGCCAACTCCAGCCCGCCACCTGTTTCAATACCTAGAGCGTTGCTGGAACACAGCCGCGCCATTCATTGCCTTCGTCTGTGGCTGCCTTGGTGCTACTTCTGGTCGGAGCTGAGCGGTCGCGGCAGAGACCACCTGGTCTGCCCGCCTAGCGTGTTTACTCTCTGGCTCTTTGAGAAAACATTTGCCAGCCACTGCTCTAGCCCGCGCAGCTGGTGAAACGGTGACTATTTCCAGACTGCCTGTGCTGAGAAATCCACAAGGTTTGTGGAGGGCAGAAGTCACATTTTAAGAGAGTTCAGCTTGATAATCCCAGTTCGTCTCATCACGCATTTTAAAATACATGCGTTGAAGACATTCCGATGAGCTCTACTTTGGAGGGGAGGGCGCCCCATTCTCTCACTACCGTGGATGCTCAGAGGACCTTTACTCCATGGTCTCGGGCAAAATTTGGGTTAGGGAAGGTTTCCCAATAACCCGAGAATGATAAATTGGGAACGTCGGGACTATTGCTCTTGGTGACTTTGTCTTCTCACTAGCATCTTGCAAGGCCCCAGGGGGTCACTTGGTCGGTAGCAACAGCACACAGGTCCTGAGCCCACGATCGACATGTGACAGGCCCCCCTTGCTCACCAGGCTCCCTGAGCGGCACTGACTCCGGAGCAGAGCTCCCAAGGGCAGAGCGGGTGGTGCTCTTCCTGCCGCCTCCCCTCATCTCCTCCCCATCCCGCCACCCCTAGGCTCACCAAAGGACGCGGGGCAAACCACGCTTGTGAGACCCAGCATGTCACAACCCCTTGCTCCGGCCATCGGTCTCAGGTTTGAAAGGCAAGGACTCGGGGTCACCTGCCTGCTCTCCAAACCCACAAACTCCTGGTGAGACGTATCTGTGAGCTTTCCGCCCGGCCAGCCCCACAGAGCCGTGCAGACTGGCCTTGGTGCTTGGGCGCGGGGAAGCTCGTGCCTCCCACGCTTCACCGGCTCTGCAAGCCATGCCCGGCCCCCGCTGCCCCATCGGAGTTTCTCGGTCTGGACGCCGGGCTTGTCTGCCTCGCACTGTCAGTGGAGGCAAACCCTGCTCTGCCCTCCCCAACCCCCAGTTAAAACACTAACGTGAGGCTGGGCGAGGTGGCTCACGCCTGTAATCCTAGCACTCTGGGAGGCCGAGGCGGGAGGATTGTTTGAGCTCAGGAGTTCGAGACCAGCCTGAGCAAGAGCGAGACCCCGTCTCTACTAAAAATAGAAAGAAATTAATGGGACAACTAAAAATATATAGAAAAAATTAGCCAGGTATGGTGGTGCTGCCTGTAGTCCCAGCTACTCGGAGGCTGAAGCAGAAGGATCGCTTGAGCCCAGGAGTTTGAGGTTACTGTGAGCTAGGCTGACGCCACGGCACTCACTCTAGCCAGGGCAACAAAGCGACACTCTGTCTCAAAAAAAAAAAAAAACAAAAAACAAAAACACTAACGTGGAATCTGTCCCATTTGCAAGACCGAGCTCAAACTAACTGCAACAAAACCGGGGGCACATTTAGGTTCTCAGAGGGCAGGGAGGAGCCCTTGTGCGTTATGTTCTTCAACAGAATGAAGAAACATGAGCCACGCCTGGGAACCAGAAGTCACCTTAAGAAACTGAGGCTTTGACTGCAGTGGGATCTCACGGAACGAGAACAGACCCACAGCTGGGTCTGACCCACTCTGGAAGCAACAGTGCACGTCCTGCCGCTTAAGCCCAAGACGGCTCAATCTCCTCCCTGACTCATCCACAGCGTGTCCTGATGAACTGATGAGCTGTCCCCCGTGGAGAGACCCTTAGATGACCCACACTCGAGCTCTCGACTTCTCTCAACGTTAGCACAGGTGACATTCTCTCTCTACCCAGCTGGGCCAGGCCAGCCTCTTCCCTGGTTGGCTCTTCCTACTGCACCAGAGTTAGAAGTGAGTTGCCCGTGAACAGGCCGTGCACATTCCTCGTGACCCTGGGTCTATGACACAAGGAAATTTAGGACGAGAGTTTTAGAAGCTAGGAAGCGGGCGTGCAGAGTTTAGGGGAGCGCCTGAGAGCACAGCCTGCAACGTGAACAATCTCCCACAGACTTAGCGGGAGACGCCACCTTCTCCAGCTGCCCAGGTCAGAGGAGCTGCTGAGAGTCTACGTGGTTTGAACAAGGTTTTTCTGATGCTTCTTTTATAAAACGCTTTTATACCCCGTGAGAATAGAGCTCTTCTTTGAGAAACAGAGGGACATTCGCTCTTCCTACAAGCCCGATTTTAGGGTCATCAAAGTTGGGGACTTGGGTTTACTAACCAGACGAAATCAGACCCCAAACTCTATCTGAGACTAGAAATATAGGAATAACTTCTCTGGTTTAGCAAAGCCCGGCTTCTTAAGAAAAACCAGCGACTAACCTGGTAGACCAAGTTAGAAACCCTCGTCTACCTTGGGTGGGGCAGAGAGGAGGGAAAAAGCTTCGGGAATAGTTTATTCCTTGTGCTGATGTCGGTTTCGCCCTTGCAAAGAGAAGCCAGTGGGGGTTTTCAGCTCACAGCTCTCTCTTATGCTTCTCGTGGTGCTAACGAGAGAGTGACCGGATTGTTGGAGGGGAAAAAAAATATTTCATAACTCAGTTGATTTAAGTTTCCCGCCTAGATTTTAACTCTTAGAAAGGATGCTACGTCTGGCCCTTCGGGTCTTGGGAAACCACGGTAGCCGACCAGAAAATGCGAAGAGGATTGCAATGACGTCAGGCCAGATATGGGGTGAAGGAAGGAGAACTGGACAGAGTCGGGCCCATCCGTGGAGGCAAAAGGGCGGTGCCCCCCGCCCCCGCCGACCCCAAGCAAATGCAAAAGCCAGGGCAGGACCTTCCCTGGCTGCTTCCAAACCAAAGCGAGAGGGTGCAGAAGAAATGAGGCCAAATGAATGCAGAACTCATACTCTCTAAAAATAGGCAGTTTATGGCCACAGTTAGTTTTGGCTTCTTACCATGAGCGGAAGGTGAGACAGGGGGACCTGAACTCTCTGCTGGGGAACCAAGCAGGCTTCCAGCCTGGCTGGCCCAGGGTCCTCATACCCCATGACAGAGAGGGGCCATGCTTACATCTCAGGGCTGCTGCCAAAGGCCAAAAGGTTGACCAAGCTAAGTTTTTTGCACATACCATGGAAATGCCCGGGGAGTGTTGCAAACTGCTGTTTTGCAAAAAGGTGAGAAGTGCCTGAGAGCATTCAGCTCAGAGGAAAAGGGCTCCCAACACCCGGCAGATTCCCTGATCTTCCAAGCCATCCACCCTCCCCTGGTGCAAGAGGACACCACTGGGCAAGCTTCCTCGCGGGAGGCGGGCAGCCCTCCTTCAGCACTGATAGAAAGATGGGAAAATTAATACGGGTAATATGAGCTCGTTTCAATAATAATGAGCTCATGAGCATGCCAGGTTTTGATCTTTTCTGATGCATGGAATCCTGGCAGGAGCTATGGTAGGTAGTTGAAAGAACTGAAAATAGACTTAAAAAAAAAATCTCTAAACAACAACAAAAAAGAAACCACCCCAATCACAAACTTAAAACAATAATAAAAAAAAAAGAAGACTTAAACACTGCTCCCCCAGAAGAAATGGGGAAAAATACTGGACTGACATAAAACCCTTTTCTTTTTCTTTTAAACATTGTTTTTAACGGCTTCAAAAGTAATAAATTGCATGTGGCTAAAAATAGATCCGGGGGTAGTGGTTAATGGGGCCTTGTGAATCATTCGGCATAAGGAACTGTCAATATTTTTTTGAGCTGTCAGGAATCCATTTAGTGATTTTTGACAATCCAAAAAATATTTCTGACTGCTTGATCCAGTTTTTAGTGAATTAGGGAAGGAGAGGGGAAAAGAAATACATCAATCTCGGTGACGAGCCCAGAGTCTAGCTTCCTGAATCCTGCTCTGTGCAAAAAGGAACATCAGGACGTTGAGGTGCAGAAACACCCCCTTCCGTCCCTCCCCCGCCCCCCTCTTTCCATCAACAGGTGAAGCGAAATTGCAGAAATCGGTTCATAAACTACAGATGGAAGGTGTCGTGGCCATTTGTCTAGGGTGGGGTATTTCAAATATACGCTGAGCTTCTCTTTGGAGAAAAGCTTTCAAATGTGAATATCTGGGTGTCAAGAGAATGACTCCCACCCTCCCCGCCCGCTCCAATATTCACTCCAGCGATGCTAGGCTTCCAATTTATGATTATGTGTTACAATCTGGAGTTACTTCGGGGCAACCATGTTCTTTAAGGAGGTAAAGAAATGCCAGTTCGCAACACGATCAGACAAGCGTCAATCCAAGACACACGGGGCCACGACACCGCTAGTTGGGGACTTCACAATGCACGTTTCTGGTTAGAACGACAGACAGACAGGTGCACAGACAGACGACCTAAGGCCACGGGAGAAGGCCGAAGTCACGGTAACTGCCGTTTGGTTCGTCTAAGGATGAATCACAAGCATCCGGACCCATCTCCCTTATTTGGAGAGAGGCTCGCTTCATTCCTACACTGTGGTTAGTGTGACACGGTTTTAGTATCCTCCAAGTTGATAAAAGAAAGGTTTAAGAAAGCAGATTTGGCTTAGCAAAGCAGCGAGGAATCGTCTTTAGGCATCTTTTGCGTAAGTTGAAAATACTGAAAAGTTTGCAAGTTACCATGTCTCTTTTTGTTTTTGTTTTTGATGTCGTTTCCTCTCCCGTCCCCCCCCCAGGTTATGGATGAAACACAGGAGTCGTTCACACTGGGGGACCCCACCCCCATTCCCGTGCCTCCCGTGGAGGCGTCTTAGAGCATCATAATGCAAACTGGAACACGGAAGTCTGAGGTCTGAAACTTCCAAAGGAAATTGGCTCTTATGATTGTCTACATTGCATATACAGCATTGGGCTGTTTTTTTTTTTTTTTTTAATATTCAGTTCAGAATTTGCTAACGGATAAGTCTACCCCATTTTTGTAAAAATGCACAATTCAGCCCTGGTGCTTCGGGAAACGAACTAGAGGAAGAGGATTCTAAAACTTACCACACAAGTCTGGCCTCTTGATACATCCAGAGTTTGCTGAGCTACTGGCAAGTCCGTTAAAGGCGGCTAAGCCCTCGGAGCTGTAGGCCCTGAGGACAGACAGCATGTTCAGGGGCTTCTCCAGGCCCGGGGGCCCCCGCTCCGGCTTCGGCAGGCCCGCGGAGGGGTCCTGGGCTGGAAGAAGGCCGGGGCTGTGCCACTGCTTCTCTGACGCGTGGGGTAAAGGCGAGACCAGTCCCTGCACGGGTTGGGGGCCGCCCGGGGCCAGCAGGCCGTCCCCGCCGTCGCAGCTGCCATCTTTGCTGAGGGCGGACAGCGGCTTGCTCATCGTTTCCGGTTCCGTCTCGAGATCCTCTTCGTCGTTGTTCTCTCCTTTGGAGGAGTCCATGTCCTCCGACGAGGCGATGTCGGAGAGGTCGTCCGTCACGTTCTTACCCGTGGTCTCGGGGATCAGGATGGGGGCGTCGTCTTCAGAGTGGGCCTTCCCGTCGGGCTCCTTGCTGGGGCAGGAACTGGAGGCCCCCGAGCCCGCCACGCCCGGGTAGACGCCGAACTGCTTGTAGAAGTCTGACGGGAAGTTACAAAAGGCAGGGTCCACGTGGCTGGGCCACGAGCCACTCTTCTGGTCCCCGAGAGTCTCCTTGCCCTGTCCGTGGGCCATCTTGTCAGAAGCAGAGTCCAGAGAGCCGATCAGACTGGAAAGGCCCATCTCTTTGCCGGACGGTACCGAGGGCAGCAGGGCCATCTTACCGGCCTCCCGGGCGTGGTCTTTGCAGTTGACTGCGACGCCCACGGCGTTGTCTTTGCGTTTCGCTTTGCCCAGGTGGTTGGCCTGGAGGTGGAGGGCCATCAGCTCCATGGAGGACGTCGTGAAAGCACAAAACAAGCAGCCGTGCCACGCGATGCTGTCCTGCACCGTCACCGACGAGCCCAGCAGGGAGGCGGCGTCCGGCCGCACCGACAGGTCCAGAGGCTCATACTGGGACTTCTCCGACTTCCTCTGGGAGGACTTACCGCCGGGTTTCTCCTCAGCCCCGTCCGCCCCGTGGACTTTCATGGAAGGGGGGTCGGACAGGGCTCTGTCCTTGACGTCCTTCTCCTTCCTCAAGGAGCTGACGACGAAGCTGTCCATGAAAGCCTGCAAGGACCCCTGGAAGCTCACGCCGTTGTTGCTTACGATGCTTTGATAAGCTCTTCCAACCTCGGAGAAGTGGGTGCTTTTGGAGGGAAGGTCGGCGCCTTTCAGGGCGTCCGAAGGGGCTTCTGAAGACATGCCGGTGGCCTGTCCTGGGTGGTCCCCGGAGGAGAGCGCTCCTGATGTCCACTGCTGAGAGGCGGGGCCCCCTCTGAAGTCGATCCCGGGGAGCCCCTTAAAGGCCCCCCGCAGGATGTCGGGCCGGATGAACAGGGGGGCTTTGCTGGACATCTCCTCCTTGGGGTCCTGGTGCGGAGGCTGCCCAGACAGCAGCCCGGCTCCGTTCTGTCGCTCCCGATGGTGCCGCTCCAGGTGGTATTTTAGGGACGCGGACTGGGTGCCGGCGTAGTCACAGTGGGGACACTTGTAGGGTTTCTCACCTGCAAGATTGGGGCACAAGAAGAGAAAAAGTGTTTATCTCACTGTGGTGTGCCGAACAGGGCTAGAAGGATCAACATTTGTTCTTCGAAACAAAGCAGCTCAGACTAATAATTAGTTAGGGAACAACTGTTTTTTAATAGAAGAATAATTCGTACTCTTAAGCTTTTTTAATGATTTTGTACCATTTGGGACTATTCAGGAAAGACATACTATCTACACACAATTAGCTATCTTTTTCTTTATCTAACATGTGAGAACGGCTGTAGATTTAAAAGCTATGATTATGAAAATTAAGCATAATAATTTCAACCACAGTGATCATTAAAAGTAGAAGTTTAAAAAGACAAAGTATGTAACAAATGGGCGGTTGCGATATTTGGTGTATACAATGGCTCTGAAATTTGTTTAAATTATACACATGGAAACCATTTTTAAACCTAAAAATTTTATGGCACTGTTACGCAAGACTGAAATGAGTGATTTAAGTCTTGCTCTGCAGTAAATCACGGATATAATTAGCAAATGGCACACTGCACAAGTAATTTATCATTATTTGGAGGGCACCATTCCAGACAGGCTCAGATATCTGCAGACCCACTGCATTGTTGCTAAATAAAGAACCATAAATACCGATTCTATAAAATATTAATACCGTTACAGTGCATTATGATTGCAGCACGTAAAGACATATAGTTAAGATAAAAAGCAGTCAATAAAACTTAAAAGAAAATGAGTAATAAAAAGGCACAAAATATATTTAGTTTCTGTATTTGAAATTAACGTTATCTACTGGTCTTTGTAGTGCCTTAAATTTGTACTAATGGCAAACCTAATGCTCTGGTAGTAAAATGTATAATTTACCTATAATAAGCGCTTTCTAGAGAATAAAAATAGCTTTAAAGAGTGTTTTAAAACACATAAGATAATTTTTCACCAATTAAATATTTATTTAAATTCAACACCGAACTTCTATTGTTCTCCCCACGACGGGAAGGATACCACGACGGACAACGTACATCTGCCGGCGTCGCGGAACAGAGGAGGAGGAGAGGGTAAACAAATGTGGGTTTCAGTGTATTCCGAGAATTTGTTAGCAATCCTGGGTCTTTTCTAGATTGTGCAATCGCAAGGCTCTCTGGAAGGAACAGGGGCTGTGACCGTCCCTGTTAGCTTATTCGCAACGGTGCCCTGTCGATATCCACGATCACGTCTCCCAGGAACCTCGCCGAGCTGCCCCCTCCCCTTCCTCTGGTCCACTGTCAAACAGACCGATCTCAAAAGCAACAGCAAATCATCGGTGGACGGCGTGATCTGAAGACATTTCACTGTGTCCAGTCCCCGCCGACGGCGTGACTCCCTGTTCTCCGAGCATCGAGCATCTAGGGGCCTGGACTTTGTAAACAAGGGGACCGCCAGCCAGGTTCTAAGCAAGAGGCTCCACGGATTGCAGTGCCAGGACCTTGGGGACACCTGCCCACCTTATCAAAGTGAGAGGGCCACGTGCTCCTCTTTCCTGCCTACAAGCAGCGGAGAGCTCCCTTGGACACTTCTTCAAGGGACTTTTACTTCCTCAACCTGGGAAGCCAAAGTCCCAAGACAGCGTCCTGTGTCAGAGGAGGGCAAGGTAGCACGGGGTGTCCACGCTCCAGTTCAGAATCTCCAAATACTCCTGGGGTCTAGAATGTCTTCTCTACGAAGCCATCCCATGGCATCTACCTCAAAGGGCCCTTCCTAGGAAGGCTCTAGACAGGGGTTCCCCACCCAGGCTCTCCAGAGGGGCACTTGGGGGAGTTTTCAAAGATCTCAAAACTCAGTTTGCCCCTTGGACCAATTAACTCAGAATTTGGGGAGGTCTGGGAAGGAGCCCAGCTGGGACTCTATTTCTCTAAATGTGAAGGTCACAGTCATCCCTGGCTAGACCAGTGGCATGGATCTAGGAGGAAAATTCTACCCCTATTGAGGTGAAGGTACCTGTAGTTTCAGGCACATTCTCCCACTTCTGGGAGTTGGTCCCTGTGTTAGACCCAGACTCACGTCAGCTGCTGCTGTCTGGACATCATCTCTCTGTAGTACAGGTAACCACCCCTGGAAGGGGCACTTCTAGGCGACCACCTGTCATGGCTGATCCAGGCTACCCAGTGGCCAGGTACAGCAGAGGCCGTCCCTGAGCTGAGAGGGCAGCGGTAGGGCCCGGGGCACGAGAGCCCGACTAGATAGGAGGGATTCCCACCCGTGGGTTAGTGTAGACCCTGGGGGGGTGCCGGTGGGTGAGAGCCAGCAGAAGTGAGGCCCGCAGGTACCGAGTGAGACTCAAGTTGCATTCCAGAAACGCACCTGGAAATGATTAAGTGCATCTGGCAACGGGATTGCAGAGAAAGCATAGGTATTCGTTAGCAGGAGCTAAAGAGGAAGAATCTGAACTTTTACCTCCAGGCCTGAGGGCTGGGGGGCGCTTTCTTGGTGGGGACGGCAGGGATGCTCAGAGGATGTGTGTGTATTTCCGAGAGACTCGTGTCTGAAATGCACAATAGACGGGCAGTTCTCAAACTGCATTGTGCATCGGAACCTCCGGGGAGTTTGTAGAGACACCGGTTCTGGGTCCTGATGCAAAGCGGTTCTAATCCCCCAGGTCTGGGGTAAGGGGTAGCAGTGGCATTTTTAAGAAGTGTCCCCTAGCGATTCTGACGCAGATAATACAAAGACCACACTTTGAAAAACCAATCTGGCAGGGCCTGGGGAGTTTTAAAAGGTATTAATACCTGGCCCCACCTCCCCAAATTCTGAGTTAATTCGTCCAAGGGGCAAACTGAGTTTTGAGATCTTTGAAAACTCCCCCAGGTGCCCCTCTGGAGAGCCTGGGTAGGGAACCCCTGTCTAGAGCCTTCCTAGGAGGGGCCCTTTGAGGTGGATGCCACGGGATGGCTTCGTAGAGAAGACATTCTAGACCCCAGGAGTATTTGGAGATTCTGAACTGGAGCATGGACACCCCGTGCTACCTTGCCCTCCTCTGACACAGGACGCTGTCTTGGGACTTTGGCT